CACATACAGTGTACTTCAGTGGGGATATACAGTATACATATATATCTGCACACACAACACATGTGTTGTATAATATAACCAAATAGGTTTGGTTGGTTATCAAATTCCTATGCAGTTAGCTAAATTAGCATGTCCAATACGTTGTATGGTGTGTCTCAGGCCTGAATTCTAAAAGCATTAAGGATAATAATAATAGAATTATTACGCTGGTTGCCCTGATCACATCTCTAAAAAGGTGGGAAATGTAAAGTTAGATAAGGAAAATTCGAGGAAAATTATTTTCTGTTAAATGGCAATATTTTTTAAAATCACTGTATAAAAACAGTATCGGTCTGATGGACAGTGCTAAATTGCGTGTGCATTACAAAGAACAACCGATGATATTGAGAGATGGCAGGACATAAGAAGAAGAACAAAAGAAAAAATACCTCATGATAAAACTTCGGCACATAAAACAGCTGGGGGGCTGTCTTCTTCTATGCTGTCTCCTCCTCACCACAATACCTGCAGCCATCTGTGCATAACTCTGTGTCAATTAGCACCTACCTTTCAAATGTATTAAATATAGGCACAATCAAAACCAACACAATTATTTTCAGGCTTTGTAAATCACATTGCGCAATATTTTGTGCACTCGGGTTTGCACTTAATAATAATAGTTGGTTTAATCAATTCGAAACAAAATGAGCTACAGTTCTGAAGGAGGGAATGTATCCACTGATTCACTTACACTTGAAAATTTGTGTTAACCTCATGAAGATACGTGTGTGTGTGTGTGTGTGTGTGTGTGTGAGTTAAATGGGAATATTACTTTGAAGGTTATCTTCTATGATGAACTTTTGGCACTGAAAGTGAAAGTATATTCATCATGGTATAAGTCGTGTCGTTGTTAAATGGTATCCTATGGTAGAAAGTAGCATTGCCTGACTGAGGTGCATGCAGTGTTTGTGCATGGTGTGTATTACCCCTCTAATGTTTTTATTGACGCTTGGTTGGCCTTTACTGTGTGTTTGCACAGAGAAGCAGAGACTCTGGCACCTGTCCTGTATGTCCTGCACACCATGTACTGTAGTGAAGGGACAATAAACCACGCTGATTGGAGTCACTAATCATAAAGATGATATGTCAGATTCAAACAACCATAAAGTGGTCAAGTGGATCCTTGACACCAAAACCTCATAAGAGTAATGAGCTTACACAAGCAACATTCAGCAGGCACCTTATCACAGTGCTGCTGGAATGCTGGTATAAATATAATTACTGCATCTCATCAAAACAGCCAAACTGTGTTAATGTAAATGTCTTTTATTTTCCTGAGAAGACATCAACACAAAAGTTCTGGTTTTGTAATTCAAAGCTGGGACCCTTTACTTTCACAAAGAAGCTTTTGTTAAAACACCAAAGGAAATCAAGTAATGAACAAAAGGAAAAAAAAAATGAACAAATAATTAAATAAGAAGCTGCAGCTGCTCTGGGGTTTATATTTGGGTTGGAGGGAAACTGGTTGCACCACCAATGTGAATTTGTGTCGGGCTCCCCAGTGCGAGTCTTCATTAAAAGTTTTCTGCAGCAGAATGCATACGCAAGAAAATGTCAGACACAAGTTCAGACTCATTAATATGCACCACCGGTCCTGAGATATCTATTGTGCCGTGCATTTGCCTTCACTTATTTCCCTCCACTCCGTAACAAATTAACTGCTGTCGAAATTAGGCCCTTAAATGAACTATTCTAACTATTCAAAGAGACACCCTGGTCTCATGGTGTAAACACTCTGCAAACTTCATTAGGGACCTTTACAGGGCTATTCCCAGTATCCATATGTCTGTTAATTAAAATAGACATAGAAATGATATTGTCATAGTATACACAGTATTATGGTGCTGAGGTACTGAAAAATACAGTTGACTCAATCTATTGTGACGCTGGGTCTCCAGAGCACTGCACAACTACTGCCGGGTCAAAGTAAAAGAACAGTAATTCACAATCTCAAGGCACTGAGTAAGTTTTACTTCTCCACTGTTAAAAAACTCCAGAACACTTATATTTAATCCTCCGTTGCCCTGCCTGATTTTAATCTGACATTTTTTTCAGGACTGGGTATGGAACATTTATACTTTTAGACCACTAACTACACAAAACTAAACTTTCAGCAGCATCAAGTAGGAAAACGTTTCATTTATTGACAGCTGGAATTCTAGTAGATTAGTAATGATTCAGAAAATGAGTTATTATTTTGTTGGTTGATTATTGTTTAATTTATTTAGCTAAAGCTGCAATGATCTGTCCAATAATTAGTGAATTGACGGGAAAAGATTAATTTTTCAAGCAGAAATGTTGAATATTCTTTGGTTCCAGGTTCTTATTTTTGAACAATGCTACTTTTGGATTTTTAATGTGACAGCAAATTAATTATCTTCAGATTTTTGACTGTTGGTCAGATGAACATGGCAAATTTCAAAAACAAGCACTCTGGATTTAAGAAAAATGTTGCAGACACGTCCTTTTTTTCTTAATTATTCATCAGTTATTGTTTTTGATCAAGAAATAACTTTCGACATAATGAAAATCATTGTTGCATCTATGTTTTACATTATGTTCAAGTGAACATGTTTGATTTTTCGATATAAAAAAACAATATGAAGCTCGTAATAGAGTGTGATAGTCATTTTTCACTATTTTCTAACAGCTCAGAGAGAAATAAAAAACTGCAGTTTTGCTGATAATACTGAAATCATTACTAAGTTAATAGCTGTAAATGTAACGCTTGTTCAAATTCTTTGTTGTGTTTGTTCCTCTATTTTTATTCCTCAATCCAAATGCTTGAGCTAAATCAGCAACTTGTCAATATTTCTGCTATATATACTTTAGAATAATGTACTTAAAAACAGTTAGGGATATTTATACAATATACAAACAGAGGTATTAAATTGATAATAACACAGAAAACTTTCAAACAACACTCATATGGCTTTCTCACAACTTGAATTAGTTCAAGCAGTGCTTCATAATGTTTTCAATTTTCTCTTCACATATACTGTATACATTCTCTAAAGTTATGCTGTTGGAGTATTTAAGGTGTCATGTGTTGTAGCTGGTAAAGATGAATAAAGCCCTGAATGCTACTGATTTGAAGATATGCAAATTAAACAAAGGAATACTTGTGATTACTGTGAACGTGCTGTGGTCTAGTAGTTCAAGAGTTGCACATGTAATCAGTTTATTTCCAAAGAGAGACATTTTTGTATCTTACCCACTTCTCCTGCCCTGTAAGCCTGTGTGCAGTCCATTGCATAGAAGCAGCAGATTGAATAATGTTAGCAGTTGAGTGTTATTATTTCTGAATCTTAAGGATTTTTTTAGAATACAGGACAATATGGTGGATATCCCTTGTACGTTTGAAGGTCTTCTGCACAATTTTAAATTACCAAGATGCTAGCAGGTGTTAGCAGCCACCAGCAGATGTCAGGGACATAACCTCAGTTGTATTCCTTAGCGTCATCAAGTGTTTTGGCCTTGTAATCATTGACGCATACTCAACTTGAGGGTAAAGGTAAATCTGACGGGCTACTGGCTTGTATGGCAGTACTATGAAAGCCATGTGGCTGCTCAGGAGATAAGACATCATTACCTCAATGCCTTTTTAAACTGAACAATGTCCCCTTTGAGAACATAGGACAAGATGGAGAATATCCCTTGTATGTTCTACTAATTTCCACCAGTTGATGTTATCAGATGTTTGTAACCACCAGGGGATGTTAGGGACATGTCTTCAGTTGTGTACCTTAGCGTCATCAGGTGTTTCGGCCTAATAATCACAAGACTGATCAGACCTGGGTGCACGTCCCTATCATCTTGAAGCCAAGTTGGGATCTTTCCTCTCAATCCAGAGCCTCAATGTATACACTGTTTCTCTTTTGTATGTGACAACATTCAGCCACTCGGTGCAAACTCTAAATGAAAGCTACTACAACAGAGAATGCTAAAAGGGACACGTCAAAGTGGTTATTCTACTACAAGGACAAAAACCAGTCCTACTCTCAAACAGATCCCATGCCGATTGCTGCCCAGGCTCAACAGAACAGAAAATAATTGCAGAGCCCAGAGCTACAAACATGACTCCAACACCCTCGCACACAACAACAGAGTCCCAACGCTGACCGTCGATGTGGCACTGGAGACAAACTCACAGAGCTGCTCGGTGTCTCAGCGCTCTCACAACAACCGAGGCAGCTCCTGCAGGAACTCCTCCTGAGGACGTCCAGCACCATGGACAGATGCCAGCCAAACTTCCACAATGCAAAGCGCGTCACTTCGAGCCGAACTCACACGAGCCTCACGTCCTGACACTTCAGAGTAAAGCTGATTTAATCAAGCAGGAGAACTGACAGGGGGATTAAAGCGTGGCCGTTTGGATCAGATGTAAAAAACACACAGGATAAAGCAGCGCACAACAACAACAGCAGCAGCAGCAGGACGTGAGACTAAAAGTTGGAGAAAAGTGAGAGGAGTTTGGTTGCTACTCTGAACCAGCAAGTATATTCCTTCACATGTCCTTCCACACGGGTGTATGCTAGTCGTAAAACACAACATGCCAGTCCAGAAAATAGATTTATCACTTTATTTAATTCAATAGAAAACAATACGCTGCAGGTTTGTTAGCATTAGGATGCTATGCGGCCTATTTTTGCAATAATAAACAGTGTTGATTTAGCCACAGTGTCAGGAGTGAGAGGAGCTAAGCTAATTATCAACAGCTTACCGACATAAAACACATTTTTATATGCGATGACACATGACAGCGGCTCGTTGTGTTGCTCAGGTTGTGTGCTGCGGTTGTTACCGAGGCGCTGGTGTTTTTAAAAACAATGAAATCATGGTGTGTAGCCAGGCCTCAGCTAATAGACGCTCCGGTGTGATCAGAACAAGTGAGGCGGCTGTGATGCGCCTGGTGTGCGGCTAAGGAGCCGCTCAGACCCGGTCGGGACTCGAACACTCACCCAGCACGAAGAAGGGCAGCTCGGTGTTCTCCAGGTCGTCCACCACCACGACGTCCCCGGGAAAATCGTTCCGCACGGAGAACAGCAGCTTGGGCTCGGAGGCCGACGGACTGTGCATGATGCTCAGGTCGTTCTCCCGCAGGAAAGGCAGCGCCGACACGGTCACGCTCTTCATCTTGCACTCGGTGTCCTGGTTCTGGTCCTCGTCGCCGTTCAGACACCGGACGCTGGCCGTGTGGACGGCCAGGAGCAGCCACAGCAGCCCCGGCAGCAGCATCTGCGGTCTCTGCCTCATGTTGGTGATGCTCGCCATCTCCGTCGCTCCGCGTTCCTCTTCCCCTCCGCGCTGCTTGATTCGCCGAGCAGCGTCTCAGGCCGGCGGATGAGAGAGCAGCTCAGTGAGCGAGGGTGAGAGGGGTGTGTGTGTGTGTGTGTGTGTGTGTGTGTGTGTGTGTTTGGGAAACAAAACGCCTCGTGTTTCCTCACACAGCATCGACCACAGAGATGTTAACATGAGCTGTGATGGCTGCTGAGTGTTTTCATGCTGTTGACCCCTCCACTGTAATTGATTGATGATCCGTCCAAATGACTGTGCATAGATTACAGGCAGGACATGCACCCAATGTAGGCTGGAGGGGCCATCACCAAAACCATCACTGCTGGTCATTTAATGGAGCCCCTCATATACATTTGCATATCATCTATAACACCACTGAGCATCATTACTAGACTTCCTGATCTCTGTGATTGGCTGAACACTTTCAGGCTGTGTCTGAAATCATGCCCTTCCATTATACCTCAGAGCTTGGAATTTACGAATTGCTAAAAGGAACCCCTGGCTTCAAAATCCACGATGGCCACGCATGGTACTGTCCAATTTTCTGTTTGTGGAAGTCTAACTATGGTTTGAGTGTGCGCAAAATGCCATGTAAACCCTAATTATGATTTGGTTTTGCTAACAATGGCTTGTACGTGAACGTAAACGTTGGTCCTGTGCAACTGGAACGCATCAACTCAGGTTTTTCAGGTGTGAAGTAATTCCCAGGTATAACGGATTGCGGCATCACTCACTGACCACTATCCAGTTTCTATCTACCTGCAAAAAATGTCTGTCTATATGTGGAAAGCATATCTTGCATACTGTTCATCTCACCAGCTTCACACTTGTGTATTGTAAATTCCCAGTGGAAGTGCTGTGCAGTGTTTGGTGCGATACATTCAATTTCCATCACTATTGAACAAACGCTCTGTAGCAGTCCGTAGGGGTGCTGCAGTGTGCTAACAGTCTGTGGACTGAGTTGAACACGTCCTCTTCTGTGTTCTCAGATATACTACAGTAACCTTGGGTCAAAATACCAACCAGATCATTTTGATGATTGGATCATTTTTATTTCGCTTTATCGGACACATAGATATTTACTGGAGTTGCAGGTACTGATCTCCATCAACAAGTTCGGCGATTATTTCCTTAAAGTAAAAGCGCAATGTTTTTTTGTGCAATTCTTTGGAATTAATTGAATTAAAGACCCTTTATTTTGAAAAGATGTGAACTTGTGTCTGAAGAGTGTGTAGGTTGTAGACATCTGAAATGGCCGACATGCAAAGAAATTCAGTAAATTTGATATAAATACTTCAAGCTTATCAAGCTTATATAAAAGACACATACGTGAATGAATATAAAGAGAATTCAGTTACAGTTCATGAAAACTAATGACAATAAAATCTTCATTGCACACAAACACGATATGATGAACACAACATTTTTCTAACTTCATCATGCATTGCGCTTGTGGCGGAGAGCCGAGAGGTGAGAGGGCAGCAAGAAAAGCCCAACCTGTCATTTTTTTCTTGTTTTCCCGATGAGCTCACTATATAATTTTCTACATAGAGCTTCCTATACAGTGAAGTAGAGTGAGTGGGTGATTTCAGACACAGCTGAAGGCAAAAGAAAAAAAATGCTTTAGGACACTGCTCAGCACATTTTCTCTGGGCAGTTAACCACATCATTGATTATGATGTACAATAACACTGTTGGACGGTGTAAAATCCCACAATCATTTTTAAATGTTTATTTTGCACTTAGTATAAATTGGTTGTGCACTACTTCTTATGTTGCATTGTAGGAAACAATGAGTCCACTATATAGGGTTCAACAAACTTGATTAAAGCCTAAATAGAACACAACCCGTGTTTAGTGACACTGTCAAAATGGCTGCTGTGAAAAACATCTATCATCACACAAGTATTCTCATTTTCAGCTCTATGTTTTCATCCTGGGATTCCACTAGAGCAGCTTTGCATAATTCACGCTTCAATAGAAAAATATATAATATATAAAACAAGTCCTTGTTTATCTCAAAAGTCTGTTTAGCAGTGCCTCAGTTGATCCTCTGACTGAAACAGGGAATATTAGCTCAGGCCTTCTTCAGCCCGCTGACTTTTGATTGACCTGGAAATCTGCTGAGGAATAGGCAAAGTGTAAAACTGAGGAATTACTAGTGGCAGTTTAAGAACAGGAAAACAGGAATCTAGGGAGTGGACAGCACAAACATCCAAAGCATCTATTTTCATATAAAATTGAGTTTGTTACCTGCTGGTGGTATGATGTAATAACCCTTGTTGAGAGTTGTATAGGTGGAAAATGTCCTGAAGTGCTGTCTGCTGTCAGAAAGTAAACTAACGTTGCTCCTAAGATGTTATTCTGCTGTCATTAAATAACTGTTCATTTAACCAGCACTATTTTGTTTCAGTGCTGGAGTTCATTTAATATAAAACCACTCTAATGAGCTGTGTTTGGTGCAGTCCAGATATAAAGGGAGGAAAAGGTTTTGAAATGAGGAGACTTGCAAGTAGATAATAAAGACAACTGTTGGAAAGAGGTTGTGAAAAATAATCTGGATTTACCTGCTCAATATGCTTATGTTGAGCTGGATAATACAAAGCTTTCAAGCACCATCACAAACAAAACATGAATCTGAGGTTCTGCTGCAGACAGTCACAAATTATCCATGTGCAGACATGCACACATGAGTTAACACATCATTTACAGCTGAACAGTCCCCCCCCCCTCCACAGTTTGACATGACTGAGTCACTCACTCACTAGAGTATGCAACGATGCACACCACCACTATTACCTACACCTATGAGCTGATGGCTCAAAAAAGGAGTCATACTTGATTGCTATACAATTCACTGACATTGTGCGATAGAAACTGCATAACAAGTGTAAATTAAGACACTGATGTGCTCATGTAAATATCAGACTTTAATTATGTATCACATTTACAAAAAAGAAATTGTAACAAAAAGTATTATATACAACCCTTCCTCCCCAAGTACACACACATACTAACAAACACACATTAGCACACATACAGAGCAAGTGCTTGAAAGAACACTAAGAAAACAATTAATACATAAATTAATACAAAAAGACATTCAGTAAAAACAGGAACTAAGGAAAGGCTATCTCGCCGATCTTCAGGACCTGGACAAGTGCCCATAGGTAAGTGCACTTGCCCTGTCCCCCAAAGACGTCCCTTCTCCCAGCTGACCAGTGGGGGGGTTCCAGACCTATAGTCTAACCTTTGTTACTACACCATCAGCTAGAACAATCAGAAGAATACCAAACTGACATTAGTTGTATTGAATTGAAACATAACTTAATTATGTGAGGTAACTTTACACTTTACACCCAAATTCAGGGGCCACATCCTGGAAGGACCAAGTAGACTGCGAAGGCCAAACAGAAATGAGATGGTCTATAGAGGATTTCCTATTGGCATCGCCATGTTGTTCCACCTTTACCATTGTTTTTTAGCCACTCAGAGACAACTCATGATATTTGTCACCAGCGTGCAATGAATCCTGGTATATATGTTGCCCCGAGAGGGATCCACCCATTTCATCCTCTGTGGCTCCAAATGAAACAATTTCTCGGCTGCATCCATTTGAAGGAGCATTCAAAATGGGACAGCCTCTTTGGGCCACTTTGACACCTTCTGATTTAGGACCCTTTTTTTTCTGGATGACAACAACAAGACAGATAAAAGGTGTAGAACTTGGGCAGACCAGGAGCAGGAGGACATTGAAGTAAGGGACAGGATAAGGACATTTAGTGAGTGGACAGCACAGAGACTATGGTTGTGTCCAAAATCCCCCACTCACTCATTATTCCCTACATCACTCTAAAGCAGAGATGTCAAACTCAAGGTCAAGGGTCACTTCTAGCCCGTGGTACAATTATATCCGGCCCACGATAAAATATCATATGTCTAACTGGCCCACCAGTGTCCGGCTAGACAGACACAGAGCGAGTGCTCCTCTCCACTCGCTGGCAGAGTATTTGATGATATTAAATTATTTTTCCAGCGTTCCAGAGATCCCAGTGCTTGCCCCTGTCAAGTTCCCCGTGTCTCTCAGACTTATTTCTCTCTCTTTTTCCTTCCGTCTTTCTCTCTCCATCTCGCTCTGGCCAGAGAGCTAGGCGGAGTGCACAGGCCGCACACAGAATGAGCGCAGCTTGTCACCTGCCAAGTATTTGGTGTTAGTAAATTATTTTCCCAGTGTTCCAGAGATTCCAGCGCATTTGTGGTGCTGTCTGTACCCCGTCAAATTCACTTACATGCTTTTCTCTGCGATGAAGATGAACAAAAACCCACACAGGAGTCCTGTTTAATAAATGTAGACCCTGTTTGGCCCTCAACCTAGTCCCTGTTTTTAATTTTGGCCCTCTCTGTGATTGAGTTTGACACCACTGCTCTAAAGTGACTATACACAGGAATAAACGTGTTTCTTCACTTTGTGCTGTGATGCACTGCTCTGCTCGTATTTACATTTATAAGACAGGTCATGTTGTTTCTGCTGCCCTCGCTCCTCTCGTCTCTCCGCCACGAGTACAATGCATGATGGTGTATATTGCTCGGTTAGTGACCATTGGTTGTGCACTACTTTTCACAATGCATTGTGGTAAATAATGAGTGCACTATATAGGATCAAATAAACTTCACTAAACAACCCAGATTTCATCCAGGAGAAAAGGGAAGCAACACAGCACCGATGGTGTCTGGCAACACAGCCTTTTTATTATTAAATGCTAAATGTGTTACATAAACCACAATAAAAGTAAACACAAATTCAGGCACTACGGGCGGATGGTGATGCCAACTCATAAAAAAAACTAAACCCATCCCTCTTCCTAATCATGGTCCCTACTCCCCTTAGTCACAGTTTCACACAAAGAAAAACTCATAAATATAAATACATTTCGGCCATCAACCATAAGGCCTAGTGAAATAATAGAAATACACTGGGTGAAGTGCACAATGGGATAAAGAAAATTACAAACAAACCTATAGCCCAACAGAAAACCCTGTAGTCAGAGAACAAATGTTTCACTTACTAAGGTTCACAAAAATAAGAGCAAACCAATACACACTTATCACCAGTCCTACACCATGACAAAATACATCCAGGAGCACTGACACACAAAAATCGGCTGCCACGTTCAACCTCCCACAGGGCTTCTTGTATTCTTGCCCACGAGGACAACGAAGCCAGATTGGTTGCCGTAGCAAATGGGGGGAGGAGACAGCCACAACAGGGGACCACAGGAATCTGGGCGGTGCTTTACCTGTGAGGAGATAAGACACCGCCGAGGCCCCTAACAGACACATTAGGTTGTTGCTTAGCAGCAGTGAACAACTTAACCACCTGAACGTCAAGCACAGTGTGTGCATATATTCCCATGTCGTAACCATGAGGTCACATGTTCCATTTGAAGGTAACAGTAGTCGAGGGCTTTTAGAAACAATTATGGAGTGGTGC